GGTCCAACATGTCAGAAGTGGGGTCATTTTGTGTCATGTCAAGAATATTACGTGGGTTTATTCAGAGGTTATTTTCAATTCAGCATAATAACCATCGTCAGATGTCCAAACAAAAGAGAAGAACCCCACCCTAACCTTGTAATGGACCCGAGGAGCTTAACGGAAAGGAAAATTCTTTAAGGGGATCTAGGCCCTATCAGTGAACAAGATGTCTCTCCTGAGAGGTTGCGACTGAGAGAGTTATAGCTTGCTACAAATTTCACACTAGAGTTGATTTCTCCTCCAACACTGGTTAATCAACTACATTCTGCTGAGTTCGAGGAGTGGAAGAAGCAGTTTACAAATGGGATGGCTCAATATCTGATTCGTGAGAATGCTAGTCTATCTACTGTGCCAATGCAAGTTGTGTCAAAAGAGAACGGATACTCTACCAGAATGCGTTGTGGAATGACAACACCTACAAGATCGATCTCCCAAAGGATTGCAATATCTGTGCTACCATCAACGTGCCAAACTTGACTCTTTATACAAGGAACCAGAAGCTTCGACGAAGAAAGTCGAAGCTCACCAAACCCAGGAGTCCTTCGTCGAAGCTCACTAAACCCAGGAGATTGATGTGGGAGCTTACCGTCGCAATACAGTAGCAGCTACAATATTGTGATCCAGTCCTACCCTTTCCTTTTTCGCTTTCCTCCTATTCTTTTTCTTTTTCTATGATTCTCCTATTTTATTCCTTGCCAATTTTGTGTCCTTCCTTTTCTATTTCTTTTTTATTTCGATACTTACCTATTCTATTTACTAATATCTATTATAAATATGTTGTTGGTAGTGTTAAGGTTCAGTTTTTATGATTTCAAATTTTTATTGGCAGCCCTTGAAGCGTTTCTCCCTTCCGATGGTTGTATTCGGCGACAAAGAGGTGCTCCAGCTGTAACTCATCCAAGGTGGTGACCATCTCCAAGGGTCCGGGTGGTGCTCTAGCTGTAGGAGGTGATATTTATCCTTCTAAATTCCCCTTCATCTTCTCGTTGCCATCTCTCCGCCATCCAACCTTCTGGTATCCAGCCTTCTCCGCATCTTCCAACCACGGCACATCCCTTGGGCCCCTCGTCCTGCCGTTATTTGTGCTTACAGCTGCCTTCTAGTAGTCGTCAGGCCTGCCGGTTGTGTTCCCGCTGCTGCCAGCTCCCTTCCGGGCTAGTTCTTACTACCGCCAGTCCCTTCAGAGCTAGTTCATGCTATCGCCAGCCCCTTCCGAGCTAGTTCTTGCTACCGCCATCCCCTTCCAAGCTAGTTTCTGTTGCCGCCAGCCCGTTTTGGGCTAGTTCCTGCTGCTGTCAAGACCTGACACCTGTTCTTGTTGCTACCACCTCTGAACGTACCTGTGGTTGTCAAGCCCACTCCTAGCAGGTCTCCATCACTTCTACGTCATTCAGTGTCGCGGTCACCATCTATCAACTACCTTCCAAAACTGTCGCCGCATCTTTCCTTCCCTTCTGGGCTTGCTGCTCTCCTCTAGCCAGTCGTTCTGTGTTATGTATTGTTTTCTTTTCTTATTTTGCAGTGTCATCATCGTTACTTGTTATTTACTTGTTTGTGTTGTTTTATGTTGTGGAGGCATCAGTGTTTTTTTTCTTGAGTTCAACAATAAAATTGTGTCGTTTGGTCGTGGTTTGAGTTAACTCCAGTATCAAAGAATTTTACCACATTTACTACAAGAGAGGATGCTGGGAGAAATCGTGATGAACTCGATCAAGATCTCATGATTATGTCGCCCCACATTACTGTGAACCCTAGTCTATATAGTTATAGAAGGTAATTGACTCAATTTAACTGAATGGTCCTTCATAGTAGTCATGAGTAATGTTATTCAATGAAATCTTAAAAAACTTGGGATGAATATTTCTCAAAGAGAATACTTTTAAGTCGATTATTACTAATAAGGGTTTTGTGCCCTATCAACTTGCAATTTTAAGCAATGATCATAATTTTAATAGTGTCATTTTACAGCAAATCACTCAAACATAACAATAATTTTTTTGTGGTGTCATTTGGTAACAAATTCACATAATAAAAGAACATGAGTCATGTATTTATTGGCATGAGATCTCTGAAAATAACCATGGAGATACATCTAATATGAAAATGGTTCTTTGTGAGTTAAAGTCATCTTAAGTTTTCATACTCAACAAGTTATTACGAAGTGTTTTAGAAAATGAATGAAATATTGCTTTGCTTCAGATGATGAAATTTCACTCGAATATTTTCAATATAACTAATCAATTTTTGAGATTTATCCATAATTATCTTGACTTAAAACTAGAATAATTTCTGCCGAAATTTGAAGGGATTTTGAAAGTACAAGTCCCTTTGACTAAAATTTTCTGTCAATAAGTACCGCCAGGGTGAAATTGTTTTAAGCATTTGTATTTGTAATTTGAGAAGTTAATTTTTAAAAGCAAATCCCTTCCAGTTATGATGTTTGATAAGTATGTTGTTCATAGGGTGTCTGATGAATTTCTGAACCCTGTGAACACCATCGTTTTACTTGCAGAGGATTGTGGTCATAATTTGTATGTTGCAAACGAAAAGAGCTAAGCCAAGTAGGAGGTTTTCTGAGCTCAACCTTGTTCATCAAAAACTTTTGGGAGGCTGATTTGAGCTATTGTGAAGGTATTCAAGCACGAATTTGTTAACTAAAAGCATATTTGATCTTTATTTGAGCTTAGTTTGAGCCTGTTTATATTGTGATTAATAAGATTTAAACGAGCAGCTCGATTGAAAAAATAAATGAGCCGTATCAAGAATTATCAAGATGAGCTTGGTAAGCCTAGTAAATGAAATTGTGATTAAACAAGTTAATAAATTAGCATTAATTTGTAAAGCTCATCTTGTTCCCTGTTGCTTCTCCGCTGGATGTCATTTCTAGCATTGAGCTTTAATCAAACTTTATATCGAGCCTTGAACAAATTTCCCCACAAGTCTGTTCATAAGTTTTAAACAACAACATTCTTGATCATAAGCAAATCCAATAGCAAGCTATTAAAATAATTAATCTAACAATAAAGCACTTATCAAAGTATTCAAACTTATTTGATTAATCAAATAATCATGAATAAGGTCTAATGGAACAGAGCTATACGCTTGTTGAATGCTCAAATCATTTTGCAGCCCTAATATTTTACATGTCAATTAGTTCATTTAAGCATTCATTAGGTTATAAACAATGTAATCACTACCCCAGTATACGGAGGATCAAGTCTATGAATTGTGTTCGTAATGACATTTTGTGAATATGGCATCAAGTGTTTACACTTAAAAAAAGAAAAACAAATCTTCTTTGGTAAAGGCTTTGAAAGAAAACATATTTACTGAAGGGTAAAACTGTTCCAAGCCTTATCTACTCTAGACCTTAGGAAGTAAAGGATTTAACTTGAAAAGCAGATTTTATAACTATTCCCTATCGATATAGTGGCTTGCTCGAGAACATCATGCTAAATTTGAATTTAAAAGAAAGCACTAAATCTTAAAGAGATTGTACACTTTCAAAATTTCACACATCTCAGAGCAAAGAGATTTAAGCATGCCTTGCAATAGAATTGCATAGTATTCTCTGACATTAAGTTTGCACATTTAGCATGTTAGAAAGAGAACATGTGGATATAATTATCTTTGTGCGCTAAGTTTAATATTCGTATATATACATATAAATACTTCTTAAATTATATAATAATAATTATATTGAGTGAATATTTGTCTAATCTGCTATCTCTTTTTATTGGTAACCTTAATGTTAAAATTCTCATCATATGTCTATTCTTATCATGAAATATTTTTTTTTGCTTGCTTCCCCCAACCATTTGTTCTTAAGTCATGCGCAAAAAGGTGTATTTTATTTATATTTTTGGTAATTTTTCTCATACAACAAGCTTAAGGGACTGGATGATCATTTCAGGCAATTTCGATTATTTGAATATCTAGGCACAGTACATTTTGCACAATGAACGATGATTAAATGATTTTGATTGCGATGGAAATGTTTTGAACCCAACTTATGTGATCTCGCATCCATTGCCTAATGTTTTTATCATATTCAATCAAATTAATTGGGGTGCATTTTTTGGTAATTTTGATGTTTTCAATGCACCAGTTTAGTTTATTTTACAAAAACAGTGATGCTAGAGTATTTTCAATGTATGTGATGCATTTCAAGTAGGCCTTGCAAGATGATACATCCATTGTCCGACAATCATTTATTTGATAGGAACCCAAAGAAAAATCATTTTATTTGATCGAATTGAGTTTTGGTATGTACTCACTCTGAGGTCAACAATGTTGACTTGTATCGGTTGGAAACATGCATTTAATCCAACTTCTGATATAAGTACTTCGTTTGGAAAGGCTTAATACTAGGTTCAAACTTTAAATTTTAATATATGGTTATTTTCTTATGATAAATAAAAAAATAAAAAAACAATCTAATTATTTTATAGAGAATAGGTGCAACATGTAATGTTTAGATTATATTGTGACCAAGAGGACACGGGGTTGAATCATGATGACAAATTCTTCTTTGAGCGCGTGTGAAATACTGCAGCCACATACATGATCTTCTCTTTACACTCCACATTTGCAGGAGCTTCATGCGCTTAGTTCACTGATGCGATTACTTAAACCATAAAATGGAACACAATATAATGACTCATATTTAGTCAATCAACATAAATTTATTTGCTTAGGTTTCTTTCGTTTGCTTTACTACTAAAAAAAACAAAAGCTCAGTTAATATGTTTTACTTTACAGATCACTGCAGTTCTAAATGAAAGAGAACAGCACGGAATATCATATGGTACTGGAAAACAAACCAATAAAAAGCACAAAAATACCTAAAAGGCTTAATGTCACAACTTAAGCTGGTTTTTTAAGTATAAATTTACTAGCTGATTATGAAAGGGAAGTATCTCTCAACTTTGGGTTCAGATAAATAGCAGAAAGCCTACCTCTCCTTTCTTTGTTATTGCAATAGAATGCCAACCACCACCAGCAATGTCTATCTGTAAATTTTAAATGTAAATGCGCTCAATAACAAGAATTAACCGATGTTCTGAATAATTTTTAAAACAACAGTCAAAAGCGAATGCAAATGGGAGACACTAGTAAAAATGAATGTAAGAAAGGCACTCGTACACCACACCAAAAAAAGACATTAAAGGAGGAAACAGATGGCAAGTGCATTATACTCGTAGATGTTGCTGCTGCTTCATAAACTAGATAATCAACTGTCATAAAGAAGTAATAGTTCTTATTAACTCTCAAACATCGCACAGCTAGAAAAATTGCAGTGCCAAAGAAAAGCAAACGTGACCATTAATGAAAAAACTGTATCTTCTTAGCATTGAGCCTAAACATCCCATTTAACAGCTGATGTAGAGCTCATGGAGGTAGATACAAACTTCATTGATTGTAAACTTTATGAGGACACTAGCATGGTTAATCTTAAGCAACAATGATTCCGTGGGCATGATGATCGATATTTAATAAACACACAGTCTAGAGTTGTAATTTTTTTAGGGAAATTTACATGCTTTAGATCTCTGCATGAAAAGCTCCATTGATAAGAATAAGTGATAATCATTGGACCGATAGCAACTCCTCTAGTAAAGGCTACTACAGCAGATTGACCAAAATGAGGATCCCAAATTGAGCAATAGTTCTTACATGTAAAGGGAACTGTATTCATGACTTTCCTTGCCAACCTACACGAAATAGATTTCAGGATGTCCAGAAAGATTATTGCAAACTGCCCAAATTTCGAAGCAAAAATTTTTGATATAGATGTTCTTCGGTAATATCATCATGACTCTGTTGGTCATGTATAGTAACAATACCAAACCAAATATGACGAGTAGTAGGGTCCTATGCTAAGCCTTGACTAAATCTTGAGAATCTTGATGTCATAATGCATTTCAAATCCTCGTAGTTATTATCCTACTGCAATAATTCTTGCTAAAAAAAATGTCAATGTGCATTTCACTTTTAAAAACTCGTAATAGTGCCATCTTTGGTGTGATATTAAATATTAGAGTGATATGTGTGTAAATATGAAATTTTAGGTGTGAGATACGTAAATGCATAAGAATTATGTGTTGTGTATGTAAATGTCCCTTGAAAATTTCAAGCTGTGGCATATGTCCCTACTTTCTTAATGAAAATTATCCAATTAACCTCCCAGGACTTCTACTCCCTCTTTTCCTTCAAAAACAATTTAAGAGGGAAGAGCTTCTTGTAACAGAATCAGCCTACCAGCTTTTATTCTTTCAACTAGGCAAAAATTCTACTAGGCACAAACAGGCCACAACCTCACATAATAAACCAATTTTCTAAGATTTTTCATGTAGAAATTTTAGTCCATTTTTAATATATTTGGAATAAATTGGATTTTAGTCGAATACCAAATATACTGCAAGATTGAAACTTTGCTTTCTGCCCACCCCGGCTACAGCCACTGCCTCCAATTAGCCATAGCCATCCCCACTGGCCACCGACCACTGCCACCTATCATTATCCCTAGCTACCAACCACCATCGTCGAGATATAAATTGAATTTATTTTACTTGGAATTAAAGAAAAAAGTGATTTCTTGCATTTCCTTTATACTCATGTACTTTAGTATTCTACACTATTCCTTTTGTACTATGCATTTCTTTTTCAATAAAACAAGTAGCCAGTAATACTTCCGTTTTCAACTGGCTCCAAGTTTCAGATGAAACTCAAAATTTGAACCCCAAATTCATAAACCTGAACAAAATCACTAAAACTCTTGACTGCTTCTCAAAGTTCAAATAAGTAATACAATAAGACCACCTTAAGTTTTATGTGCATTGTAACTAGAATCTCAATTAGATAATTCTCTTTGTTTCATACCTTCAACATACTTTGTATTGTAATATTTTATAATATAAATGTAAATAAAACCTTAACAAAATTGGATCATAAATTGCAAAAACTATCAGAACAAAAAAATGCTATAATGGGATCAAAGCTGACATTTAAAACCTTACTTCAAATCAAACTAATTATCAATTTTTTTTCCTTCATATAGAGCTTGCATTCATTTTATTCATATTTCATTTTTCCATTTTGTTGATAGGGAGGATCAAGAGCTATGGATAGTTTATCTCCGCAGATATCTACCGATCACAAGTTTGAATCACAGAAATATTCACTCTAAAATGATGGATAAGACCGCATACATGTATCTCCCAAGACCTTATATTGGAAGAAAGCCTCATTCACTTGGGTCTTCCCACACAAATTTTTGCAAGAAAATTTATGTAAATATTGCTAGATCATTTATTATCACAACCAAGTATGATAAAGATACAAATATGTTTTAATAATCCTGCTAAAAAATTTAAATCTGTACACACTACAAAGCAATTCTACATCATTTAAGATTCAGTAGAAAACGTGATGCAAACTTCCAGTGTCATAGTGACACTTTAAATTTCAGATGAAAGTTATCGGCAACCTCTTTCCTCAATGCTTTAGAACTCAAACAAACAAAAGGAGAAAACGAATGATGACTTGAGAAGCTCATACTTACTAATGCAAGCCCGGATAAGCCCTGCACAGGAATAGGTTGTGATCTTGGCTGAGTGTCCCCAGTTCCAAGCTGACCATATTCGTTGTTTCCCCAAGCCCACAACCTGCCATCTTCTAAGAGTGATAAATTGTGGAAGGCACCAACAGCAATCAATCTAACCCTTTCAAGTCCTTGAACTCGCACAGGCATATAAATCTGCTTGCTATAAATCATATGGCATCAGTAAGTTTTACAAAATTTTAAAAATCATACAAGCAAAAGAATTAAAAAAAGGAGCATTTACTTACATACCGCAAAGTTATGTATTTACATATCTAACACCTAAACTTTAATATTTATATTCATAGCACCGAAATCCTTAATATCATATCAAAAATTACACTTTACTAACTATTTAAAAGCCAAATGCAGCATTTTATGCATAGGCTTATAGCCCAAATGTGATATAAACGTAAATATGAAATTTTAGGTGCTAGAAATGTAAATCCATAAGAATTGTGTGGAATGTATGTAAATTTGCCAAAGAAAAAAACTCAGGTAAATTATTGATAAAAAGAGTGAAAATTAATATAAGAAGAGTCTTCTCATGAATTGCAGTTATAGCCACTAGAAAGGAAAAGATGCATACATGTCTCCAGGAGGCCAAGGTTGACCCCATGTCCAAACATGACCATCTTGTGTTAGCACCACGGAATGAGTACCCCCGGCAGCTACCTTAAATATTTGCAGCAAATTAGAAAAATAGCAGAAACAGTAGAAATCAATGCAAAGTCAAATGGTAAAAACTTAAAAACTGTATTGAATCTGTGCATGTACAGAACCAAAATCCAGGAGTGTGCGGTGTGAAACTTGTGCAAACTTTTCTGAAACTAAAGTCTAAAATCAATCTACTGCGAGTTGCTTGAGGTTCCTCAGAGAAAAAACAAGTGTAGAAGATAAAGTTCTTTCTGCAAAATGAAAGTTTCTTAGCTCTGGTTTGCTATCTAGAGTAAGACGGTTTATCATTGAAAAAATCATTTGCAGATTAAAAGGTGTGCAGTACCTTGAAATGCAAACTAGCAAATAAATTCTTCTTCCAATTAACAAGAATTAATTCATCCTTCTAAAAGAGATCCTCCCAAGGAAAGATATTTTCAAGTAAACCTTCCATCTATATGATTATGGCGTTATTCTCTGATCTAATCCTTCTTTTGCCTTGCATCTCTTCCAGATTCTGGCGCATGGAATCAATCCCTTTTTTAAGTGTGTGGAGTATTCCTTCAGTGGTGTTACTTACTGAGCTAATACAAGTATTTTTGTTTATTCATGGAGTAAAGTAGAATTGACTGTAGTTAATAAAAAAAACCTGTAATTGTTCTTAAAAATGAAAACTGGACCAGTTGAGCTTGTTCCAGGTACCTGTCGCACAGAAAGCTGGGGCGCACACCGTTGAGGGATGGTAATGTCCCTCCTCAAAGCCTTACTGCCATCTTCTTTCCTCTCCGGCTCCTCTCCACACTGTCCATACTCATTTCCTCCTAGAAAATGCATAAACAAAGGCATCATTGAACCATGATCTATACTTAAAAATAGCAAAGCACTAACATGCATCATTACCCCAAGCATATGCTCTCCCCTGGTCATCCACCGCAAGGCAATGCCACCCACCTATGGCTGCCTGCAAAAAATCGGGAATTAAAAACAAATTAAACAAATAGGCATACTAAATTTTACAAGTGGGACATTCCCACATGTTTCGTTGACACACCTGGACAATATTAACATCATCAAGTGCCTTAACGAGGCTGGGAACACTCTCAGTTTTTGTCTCGGGTGGATGGCCCAGAGTGCCTCTCTGATTCCATCCCCATGTAAAAAGCTGCTTCAATAGGGCAATCCAATTGTAAGGATCTCAAGTTGATGTAAAATCACGCGGGGAGCGAGAGAAAGAGAGTGAGTGGATGAAAGAGAGAACCTTTCCGTCATTGCAGATGGCAAGGGAGTTGCGGCTTCCGGCGACCACGGCGGTGAAATCACGGCCCTCGACGGCCTTCACACTGTAGACCCAATCCTTATCCTCCCAGTCTCCCATACCCAACTGCCCGTCTTCCCCAGATCCCCTGCAACATTTGAGCGAACAATCTTACACGAGGCAAAGCAGAGTTCGACAGCACTATGGTTAGGTGAGAAAAAGAGCGACAAGTAGAGAACGTTGAGGACCAGGCAAGGATTAAGGAGCGGGATGAGGGCTCGGAGGCGGCCATGGATGATTGATGAAGCTTGATTTAGGAAAGTGAAGAGGAGAGGGACTGGATACTAGCCAAGTGCCGGCAAAAAATTACTTTCAAAGGAGAGATTTTTCTTAGCCCGCTTTTTTTTCTATAGAAATATTTGGAGGTATTTATCATTTAGCTCTCAATTTTAGAAAAGAATATTAAATTAAATTGTTTGGGTTAGTGATTTTTAAACTAATTTCTTTATCCAACTAAAGGAATATTTACATGCTTACCTCTCAATTATATGTAACACCTAAATTTTAAACTATAGGGAATAGTACATTTTATTATGATAGTGGAGATCATGACAACAGGACTCTAAAAAAATTTATAATACAGACATATAAAATGCTAAGTTATGAATAAGACTTTGGCATTTGGTCTTTATCAGAAATGATAAGAGGCTGTCATGATAAAAACAGAATAATTTGATTATGAAAAAAAAATTATTTTACTTAGCAAAGGAGCAAAAGTACTAAGTTGTGAATGATACATTAACAAAAATTCTTTAGAATAAATTATAAGTCTATTTTATGATATGAAAACAAAAAGAATCAGTTATATCTGAAGATGAAGCTTTCTCATTTTCAATACAAAACATAAATACTTATGAAAGAGCACTTAAAAACTTTCGATGAGAATTGTTCTAACGCAAAATAAAAAAAAAATCTTAATATTGAGATAAACAATAAAATAATGATATTATTTTTCTTAAAGTTTGTGCTTATATATGATTATTTAACCACATTTTACTATATACAAAAAATGAGATTAAAATTAGTCTAATATGTAATGAGTATGAATGGAAGAACCAATTTAAATATAAAGAACTACATATGAAGCAAAATTATATTCAAAGGTAGGACGTACAATTAAATTAGCAGCAAAATGGATCTCATTCAAATTCAGATTGAGAATGATCATAGAGACGAAGAATGAATGTGTTAATTTTCACTAAAAAGGTTATTTGAAAAAGCATTGTTTGAATATGGAAAAATCAAATATAATAGTGGATTGAAGACCATCAATGAAAAAAAATAAAATTCATCGGTAGGCAACACACATGAAAGTTGTATTTTATACTTTGGAGGTTTCCATTACTTGTGTCCAATTTGTCATTGATTTATAAGTTCTTAGAAATTTGGCTTAGGAGATATGCTAATAGAAAACAATAATATTCATCAAACAAATGTTATGGGGATAATATCTGAAGCTGCAAACTGGTATAATTAGATGGCTTACAATTTCTAGATCTAAAAAAAAAAAATCCAATCACTAGTTTTTACGAAGTGAACTTTCAAGGTGGTGTTCTAAAAGTGATAATAGGAGTGCTTTTGTCCATGAAGAGTGCTTAAAAGAGAAATTTATAACTTTTTTATATAGAGAAAGAGTCATGAGAAAATCAAATGTATGCTCCAATTAATGATTCATTTTTAACTTCTTAACTATGAAATGTGATTTGGGTATATTGTAGGGAAGGCTATATATAACTTGTAGTAGAAAAGTTTATTAAAAGATACTAAGTGTTGAAAACTTGGCTTATGCGCGCATTGTGTGTTAGTATAAAAAATTAATTCAAGTTAAGCATTACAATCCATCATGCTAAGGGGACACTAGAGTACATAAACATTATTATTTAGAGCCTCTTAAAATGTTTGGTTAGGAAATTGATGATGGTTTATTCTCTTTGTTGATGCTAAGTTATGAATAAGACTTTGGCATTAGGTCTTTATCAGAAATGATAAGAGGTTGTCATGATAAAAATAGAATAATTTGATTATGAAAAAAAAATTATTTTACTTAGCAAAGGAGCAAAAGTACTAAGTTGTGAATGATACATTAACAAAAAATTCTTTAGAATAAATTATAAGTCTATTTTATGATATGAAACCAAAAAGAATCAGTTATATCTGAAGATGAAGCTTTCTCATTTTCAATACAAAACATAAATACTTATGAAAGAGCACTTAAAAACTTTCGATGAGAATTGTTCTAACGCAAAATAAAAAAAAAATCTTAATATTGAGATAAACAATAAAATAATGATATTATTTTTCTTAAAGTTTGTGCTTATATATGATTATTTAACCACATTTTACTATATACAAAAAATGAGATTAAAATTAGTCTAATATGTAATGAGTATGAATGGAAGAACCAATTTAAATATAAAGAACTACATATGAAGCAAAATTATATTCAAAGGTAGGACGTACAATTAAATTAGCAGCAAAATGGATCTCATTCAAATTCAGATTGAGAATGATCATAGAGACGAAGAATGAATGTGTTAATTTTCACTAAAAAGGTTATTTGAAAAAGCATTGTTTGAATATGGAAAAATCAAATATAATAGTGGATTGAAGACCATCAATGAAAAAAAATAAAATTCATCGGTAGGCAACACACATGAAAGTTGTATTTTATACTTTGGAGGTTTCCATTACTTGTGTCCAAATTGTCATTGACTTATAAGTTTTTAGAAATTTGACTTAGGAGATATGCTAATAGAAAACAATAATACTCATCAAACAAATGTTATGGGGATAATATCTGAAGTTGCAAAGTGGTATAATTAGATGGCTTACAATTTCTAGATCTAAAAAAAAAATCCAATCACTGGTTTTTACAAAGTGAACTTTCAAGGTGGAGTTCTAAAAGTGATAAGAGGAGTGCTTTTGTCCATGAAGAGTGCTTAAAAAAGAAATTTATAACTTTTTTATATAGAGAAAGAGTCATGAGAAAATCAAATGTATGCTCCAATTAATGATTCATTTTTAACTTCTTGACTATGAAATGTGATTGGGGTATATTGTAGGGAAGGCTATATAAAACTTGTTGTAGAAAAGTTTATTAAAAGATACTAAGTGTTGAAAACTTAGCTTATGCGCGCATTATGTATTAGTAAAAAAAATTAATTCAAGTTAAGCATTACAATCCATCATGCTAAGGGGACACAATAGTACATACACATTATTATTTAGAGCCTCTTAAAATGTTTGGTTAGGAAATTGATAATGGTTTATTCTCTTTGTTGATGATTTCTCGTTATTTGTTTGCATGTACATCATGAAGCACAAAAAGTAAAGTTTTAAATATTTTTTCTTGATGTGAATTTGTTGGCATCACTTTTTGATGTTATGTGTTTGGGATGTCCACTTAAATGCTACGGGACTATATTCAGTCTCTCGTAGTTCGAGACATTCATTTAGACCTCCTAGTAATTATTTTGAGCACAGAATTAGGGCTGATATTGATTCATCCCTACCTGGGAGAGCTCATCACTGGGTGATGATAATTCTAATTTGGGACATATTTAATGCCCATGTTAATATTTAAAGACTATATTTCATCTATTCGGAGCCTCCTGTGATTGGAACGTGTAAAAAATTTCTTTTACTGGCACTCTAAGTGCAGCAGACCGACGTGACCACATCAGGAATAGGCTTGGCCACGCGTTACCCTTGGTGTGACCACCCTTAGCCTTTCTATGGGCTGCGACACTCTTAAGATGGCGTGACCACTTCCAAAGTAAGTGTGACCACACCCTCTGCTTACGTCGCGACACAGGGTGCGATGCCTTTAGCATGGCGTGACCACTCTTGAGGATGGCGTAGCCATGCTGATAAACAAAGAGTTCAGCATAACTATGTCGAACTTCGGGTGTGACCATGCAAGTTCATCCTATTTGTGTGTTTCGCACTATTGGTCCGTAAAAATCTGCCATTAATCATTGGATAAAGAGCTTATATGTCAGCTCTTTTGTCATTTTGGGGACAAACCTAAAGGATGAAGAAAGTTTTGCCATATTTATATGTTTTTTTTTTTGAAGAAGTGGCTAGGCAGCATCGATCTCCCGGATATCATAGCAGATGCATGGTTAAGCAAGTAGGACATCGTATGGAGAGAGATGGAACTTATTTGGTTGTGGAGAGCTTGGGAAGAAGCGAGAGAGAAATTTTTGGCTTTACCAACCCAGACGTGGTATAAGTCCTTTGTGGGAGTATTTTTCAGCTTTGTAGCTAAACCCCTCTTTTCTCTCCATTTCGTTGGCTTCCATGTCATTTCAACAAGTATAAGTCCCACAACTTTGAGCTCTACCTTTATAGGGTCATAGGACTTAGAGCTTATTTCTTTTGACCTTAAGGCTATTGGGGTTCCCTTGGATGATGCAATTCATGGATTGCTGACAATGGGTCTCTGGTTGGGTTGGGTCAACATCTTCTCGACCAGATAGACTTAGGGCCTTCGTAGCTGAGGATGATAGATTCATGGTTTCCTGACCTGGATCCCTAACTACCTCTAACTGTTTAGGGATTCTAACTCTCCTTTGTTGAGCCCTTTTGAATCATGTCATTCCTTTGACACTTCATTGATATCGTCTTGACGACCTCTATTATCGATGGATCGTCGCTTGTTTGGGATACAGTGATACACCCACTACCCTTATGGTCCAGTTAGGTATTGAAATATATGGATGCTCATGTTGAGTCAACTTGATTATTTTTCAGGCCTTGCTCATCAACATGTTGTAGTTCGTTTATGGATATGAGGGATTCACTTTTCCATGTGGCTCGATATAAGCTTTCAAGATGGCGAGATGCTACAAGTTAAAATAATCATCTTTTTGGTGATCTATCCACCAATTATCATGATAATATAAGTAAGACCCATTTTATTGAGAGTATTATTGCATATCCCCTAAGATATAATTAACTAAAGGTATATATTCCTTTGGGAGTACTCTTGACCTCATAACAAAAATTTTCTTTTTGGCTATGATTATGGGTGGCTTATGTAACAATTTCTTCACGAATATTATGTTTCAAGGAATTTCAAACTAATTTATTTTTGGACATATACTCTTGATCTATCACACGAGGATTACCATACATAAGTTTTCTTTTTAAATTTGTTTGTCTATTTTCATTGTATATTCTTCTTTTCGATTCCTCTCCTTTTCGAGTCATTTCTAAGAGCGAGATTTATATAAAAAAGAAAATAATACGATGATATATAAAAAGACAAGCTGATGACTCTGAGTTGTTAAAAAGAACGAAAGACAAAATGAAATAATAGAAA